AGCTCCTGGTTAAACCAGGGCGCTGGTCGAGCTCTACAACAGAGAGGGTGTTTAGGCGCAATCGTGTCTATAGCCCTGGTTGCGAAGGTGGACCAGCTATCAACCAGAGCATCGACAGGAGCGCTAGCCAGGTCCGCCGTGACCCCTCTCATGATGTCCTGGAATCCAACCGGATCCAGTAGTCTTCGAGGGCAGACCATAGAAATAGGTCCCTGTTCCCTGCGAGGGGGTAGAGCCACTGTGAGGTTACATTTTATAGGTGGTGATCTGACCATGACAAGGGGACTGACATGAAGTCCGTCACCACCAGCTCACTCTCGCGCCAACTGGAGGAAAAGACCAGGTCCAGTGTGTGACCACCCATGTGGGTGGGGCCATTGACATGTTGGGACATGTTCAAGGAACCCATGGTTTCCAAGAACTCAAGAGCTGACCCAGATGCCTCTGCCCCCGCATGCGCGTTGAAATCACCCAAGATCAAAAGCCTTGGGGATCCCAATAGTGCTGCGGAGACAAAGTCAGTCAACTCCGGAAGGGAAGTGGCTGGATCGCGGGAAGCGCGGTAACTCAGCAAAATCCCAATCCCATCCCTGGCCCCAATCGACACGTGGAGTGCCTCTAGACCTGGCTTTACCACCGAGGAGCGCTTAGTAACCTCCAAGCTGGATTTATAAACAATGGCTACTCCTCCCTCCCGCCCCTCCAGTCTACCCTGGTGCTGGACAGCATAACTGGACAGACAGACAAGAGCCAGGGATAAGACACAAGGTTAGCATCTGGCATCCAGAAAATAACCCAATGGATAAGTAAACATTTCTCACCAAGGAATTTCATTATCAGCTGGCCTACTGCAGCTTCCAACCACAAAACAACACAGCTTCTTTATAAGGCAACTTTTCAACACACAGTATTTAAATCTAGACATGCTGGTCTTATGGTTTGACCACAAAGCCAGGTCAGAAACCTCCATGCCTTCCATATTACCAATATATTGGTTCACAAAAGCATATAAATTGTCCCCCGACCAACTCCAGTTTGAGCTCCCTGCCTCTGCGGACACTTAATTTTTTATGAACTCAACTTCCAACCCTCTTCATATCACAGTTGTTCTGCAACAGCTCTTGGCAACCACAACCACTTGAAGAAAAACAGTCAATCAGCAGTACTGAATGTCTCAGATGTAGACTGGTTGCTGGAGGAATTTTAAAGTCACCTTCCTATCTACCTTGGTACCAATGCAATAGGACCAGGGTGGTGAACCTTTTGTCACTCCAGATGTTTTGGACTACAACCTGCAGAATCCCCAATCTGTATTGCCAATGATAAAGCAGTGTGGGAGTTGTAGTCTAAAATATTTGGAGTGCCAAAGGTTCATCACCCCTGCAGTAGTTTTCAAATTAGCTAATTTATGTTGGTAGAGATTATTTTTCTTCTTCTGATGCTGTATGATGAGGCGGATGAAAGGGGATAATGAATTGTTTCCGGCTTAAGACAACAATGAGAAGCAAACATTTAGGTGTTGGAAAATATATGTTTTAAATTCTTGCTAGCAGAATCTGCTTTCATTCTTTTTTCATATCAGAGTGCTGCACAATTTAACGTTGTAGACAGATGTAAAATTAAAAACAAATTAAAATGTTAGGATAATTGATCTATTTTTTGACCAGAAGGCTACTTCAATGGCATTATCTCGGCAATTTGCTAAATCTTTTGTATATGTGGTAGGGCATAAATTACATGCACAAAAGTGCTGCATTGATTTTTTCACAGTTGCAGAAAAACCATCCTCTATCTGAACAACCTCTGCAACTCGGAAAAATCTGCTTAAGGATTCCCAGCCCTCCAGAGTGAATTCTGAATGTATGGCATGGGGGGAGGGGGAATCATTACTTTGTTGATGGAAGCTATTCCAAGAACAGAACAACAGTGCTGGGTACAACTCAGCCTCCTTCCCTGTTTGCCTGGTAGGTAGCAGTTGTCTTTATGTCTTCTGATCATGGGATAAAATTTTAATAAAGGCCCTGCTGATTTCAGCACATTTGTTTCAAGATTTCTTACTGACTGAATCATCCACAGAACTGAAGGCCAACACAAGGACAAAACATTCAAATGTATATCACCTCTGAACATGGAATGTACTAAGACTTCTAATTATTTTACATTGGTTCTGAAACAATTTAGAATAAGGCCTATTCTATTTTTATCCCTTCACCTGAAATCTGTCCCTTGCTGAACTCAGGAATTGCTCATCATAACTGACAGCTGTGCTAAGGATGATTTATCAGTCAACCAAACTTCTGAATAACTGTTATCAGCCAAAGTAGTTTTGTTATGTGGTTTTAAAAGTCCATACTAGAATTAAAACATCCTGCTTTTTTAAAATGGAGATTTTATCAGTATTTATTGTAACAAAATATGTTGACCTCACCAAGTCCACACTAACTCTTCATTGTGCAGCATATAAACATAAGATTCAAGACAGCAGGTTAAGAGTTTAACAGAGCTTCATAGTTGAATATTTACAATTCTGTATAAATTTAAGTAACTACATGTCAAGTAGAATATCCTGCCAATTAACTAAGGAAGCAACTTTGATGTTCATAGCAGATCTGGGTAAAGCTAAAGAAAAGCATACTAACTTGTGGCAATTAGCAAAATACACATGTGAACTTTTTATAAAGGCCTGGCCCAAACTGAAAAATCAATTATGCTCCAGTGAAAAAAGTAGAGCAAATGTAATACTTGCTCTGAATATATGCATTGCTTTATGAAATTTGAATTTTATTTCACCTATCTACATTTCCTAAATGAAGGGGTTTAGTGTTTAATAAGGAACACTACTATCAGAGAAACTCTAATTTGAAGAACAGAAATACTGGGGGTTTCAACTTTTTCCACAGAAGATAAAATTTCAGAATATACAATTATTATCTGAAATAGGCTGAACCTTCTGCACTCATGATAAAAGTATCCAGACGTGGCACTGTCTTAAAAGAACATTAAAAATTCAGCTAGAGACGTTTAAGAGTGCAGACAATAAAACAGAATAATCTGAATCATTAAAATTTCACTTTGTTAGCATTAAGAGAGTATGATAAGTCATGCAATGTGCTCCTAGTCATGGAAAGCAAGAAGGGTTTGTACACATTGCCTAGTGTTGTGAAACCCTGTTCTTTAGATTCATTTGTATTCTGGGCAATGTTTGTCATGGCAGTCTCAAATGATACCACCGTATACCTGCTAGCTGCAACTGTATCTGCAGAGCTTCTCTGACAATGCTTCGCCATCAACACTGCAGATCCAAAAGGTTTGTTTTCAAGGTCCTTGGTAAACCCACCATTTTTTCAGTCTACAGAAAGAAGCGCTTCTTCCAAAATTGGATGAAGAATAAACCCCAGGGAAGGCTTAACACCCCAGAATGGAAAAAGGAAAGCTCAGATAGAGAGGATCATTTACTCTTCAGGGAGGGAAGATAATCAGGTGATCAAGTCCTTACAAAGTGATTTGCCACTTTTTTGTGCCACTAGGTCTTTCCAGAAACAGGAAATAGATGCAAAAGTCAAATGCAAAGGAGAAAACATTCTCTTCAGTTATTTTATGCTGTTGAGGAATTTGGCTTGTTCTTCTCCTCTTGGTAGCAGTGTTTCTCCACCAATCTTGGGACCTTTCTTCTCCTAGAAAGGGGAGATTTATAGAGATATTTAGTTCTGATGCACTGGAACGAAGACCAACTACAGTGGACCCTCAACTTACAGACGGCTCGACTTACAGACTTTTCGAGTTACAGACTTCTCTGGCTGCAAAATTTAGATTCGACTTGCAGCCTGAGATTTGACTTACAGACCAGAAAAACCCCAAAATGGAACAAAAATAGAATAAAAACCACTGGTTATGGGATTAATCGGTTTTCAGTGCATTGTAGGTCAATGAAGATTCGACTTACAGACTTTTCGACTTGCAGCCACCATTCCAATATGGATTAGAGGGTTCACTGTATATTAATACTCACATTTAGCTTTCACAGTTGCCAAAATCCTGTTGCTTAGCATAATAAACTGCACTGGAGTAGGCCCACTGACTCAACAGGGATTTGGTGAGTCAACTCCTCTGTAGGTTCCATTGATTCAAAGAGGCCTACTCTTATTGCAACTTATTACCTTAAAGTAAGTCACAGTAAGACTAAGCCTATTTGAATCAATGGAACTTATGGGAGTGATGACTCATCAAATCCTTGTAGATTCAATGGGCCTACTCTAATGCAATTTACTACCCTAAAAAACAGGATATTGAACATTGGACCTAAGCTGCATCAGATATGTCTACTTTGACAAACCCTATTCATTTCTGTAAATGTCACACAAAGGCCTTTCCAAAAGTTTGCACTCATCAACATTTTGTATTAATTAATTCATTCATTCAATTTGTACCCCACCTATCTGGTCAAAACGACCACTCTAGGCGGCTTCCAGACAGATAAAAACACAAACACATGTATGTCTGAATAGCTAGGTATAAAAATTACCTACAAAACACAGCTAGTTACAAATGCTTGAAAAATGGGGTCCTGGGATGTGGCTGTATTAAGCTTGTTGTAGCAAAAACAATGGCCAGTCTTGTTAGTACAACTGAAAAGTTCCCTTTTTTGATTTTGGTGTGTATGTGCATACATATTCGACTTGTGTGTAAGGATATGAAATTGTGTGCAGCCTTTAGAAAAGAAACTTGATTAGCAGCTATTTACCACTGCCAATGAAATCCATTCGGTTGCGTCCAGATATTGGCCAAGTGAGTCTTGCTGCATCTTAAAGTTGAGCATGCTTTATTTGGCATAACGTTCCACAGACTCATTTAGCCACATGACTGCTGTCTATGAAAGCTAAAGCCAAATAAAATTGATTACCTGTAAGGTACCATGACATACACACACACACACACACTCTCTCTTTTAAACGCAACTGCAATTCGTAAAATTGCTTGGGAACACGAGCAAGAAAGACCAAGCTTACCTTGAGCATTCCATCACGTTCCCATTTAAAGAGGCCACAGTTGCTAGAAAAGGAAAATAGAAAATTAGGATGGTTGCACCAATTTCACCATATTCTTTTAGGTATAGCATCCAAGGAGGGAGAAAGCCTCCTAGTTCACAACACTGTCATTCTGTTCTACTCTACTACACATGGCAGGACTGGAGTAGAAGGAGCCCTGGCTTGATTGTCTCAGTAACACAATCACAGTTCTCATACTTCCTCTCCAGTGAAACTGGTTCCCTAGTGCAATCCTTGCAAAATAATGGTGGGAAGAATATCAAAGTGGTGGATGGGTAGGGAACACCCCCCATTTTCATTCAGCACTGATGGTAGCATCCCAGAAACTATTTCATACTGTAGGGCACACATCTTTTGATTTCGCTCTGGGAATTTGCTATTTCATCAAGTGGAAAGTCTAAGAGCACCACCATCACCACCAGAAACGTGCTTTTTTAATTATTATTATTTTTTTTTACAAAATTGGGCAATATTGCCTAGACAATCTGATGCAGGTAAGCTTAAAACAAAAGCCTACTTCAGTAAACCAGCCTAGCTTTAAGAGGCCAAAGAACTTTGCCAAGATGAGACCTGGATCTGTTTAAGCAGCAGGGAAGACAAAAATCATTGCCGGCAAAATAGTAGTCTATAGACTGGCATAGGTCTCTCACTCGGAAAGACAACCTAATCTCTTTCCATGACTCTCAGTAAAAGAGGAAAACTGGATATTAATCAGCAACTAAAATTTAAGACAGTTCAGGGAATGTGCAAATATTTGTTTGAGAAGGAACCCCCCACCCCTCCTACCTGCAGTGTTTCTTTGGAAGCTTGTCAAGAGAGATGGCTCTGTTCCCACATGGACACTTGAAGAATCGCTTTATGCCATCGTGCCAGTGGTAGTCATGATTTTGCTCCACGCAAGAATCCAGGAGTTTGAAGTAGGTGTACTTACACTTTAGTGGGGAGAGAAAAGAAGAGCGAGAGAGAAGCTGAAAAAGTTGGAAGACTCTCTTTCTTAAAGGTCTTGCTGTAATAAAGCAAGGCAGCCCACCATTGTATCATAACTGTATGTCCCCTTCGGAACTAGGAGGAAGCAGTTCTCTGTTAGGTTATGATCAAGAGTGTGTAGCTTTCTGGGCTACAACTTCCAGAATTCCCCCATCCAGCAAGGCCACTGGCGGTTACAGCCCAAGACAGGAACATTTCCATGTTTCAATTATACTGGATTAGACAGCCAATTGGAACTCAGTGGTTCCACAAGCAAGATTGAATCCATGTTTCTAAATAGTGAAAAATGTCACCCTATTCAGTGCCTTAATACAGATACATTGCATTAGGAGCTCTAAATGCAGTGAAGAACCAAGTGTGACACAATGGATAGAAAACAAGACTTTAATTGGGAAGATCTGGCCATTGGAAAGCTCACTGTCCTTTTTGCCTACCGCCTGGAGTTGCTCTGATGAGAACACTTAGCGTCTCTCACGAGGTAGCTGACAAAATGAAATAAACCCCAGGGCATTTGAAGGAAGACAGGATTCAAGTGTGAAAATAAGCAAAGCCTAAATTCAAGTATAGAATTTAGGTGGTCACTAAACTGGAAGACTTTTTGCTGTGAATATTCCTTTTTGGGAAGCAAACTGGCCTGTGCATATGGCTGCTAGTCAAAGTGGATTCAGTAAGAATTATCTCCCACTTCCAAGCTCTAAGCATTACAAGAGCATCCAGCAAAGTAAAACTTTTTTACTGCACAATTTGTTCTTACATGCTTTAAGGTAGCAAATTTTCATTGACTTTGGGCTGCCTTGGCAACTTAAAAGATAACAGCCCAAAGAAAACTCGAGTCTCATGCTCCAGCATGTCATGAAGGATGATAAACAAACCATGTCAATGCATTCTATGTTTGTACCACAATCTTCTTGAAATGTGGAATACTTACAAGCTTTAGTTTTAACCCTTGCATTGTGCATCGGAATAGGTAAGTAATGGACCTTATACATTCTGTATAAACAGTGGTCCAGAGTTGATCAGTAAGAGCTGCTCAGGATTAGGGCAAATTGCACCCACCCACCCCAATTATCGTTGTTCCAGCCAGACTTTGCACAATCAAGTGGCTGCTTCACTCACTGTTTTGCATGTGGCAACACGGCACTTCACTTCTCTGATACTCCTCATTTTCTCTTCCATTTGCTCCTTTTTCACCAGTGGCTCAAAATAGCGTTCCTGCATCTCAGCCTCAAACTGCGAAAGAAGACAGAAATGGAATTTTGATTTGCATGTGCAAACAGCTGATACAACGGAATATGTTTTTTAAAAACGGATTTAAGAGATTGCTGAACATGCTCTTCAGCCAGGTGTCTCTGATATAGACACAACCATTCAGAAGCAATAAGTAAAGATTCTACACTGAGTTCTTGAATGAAAAATATCAAACGTGCAGTACAAAATCCACATACCCCCTCATGATCTTTGAAATGGTTTTCCCTCACCAACACTTTGATAACTATCAAGCAGAACTGCCTAGCTTAGCCTTCCCTCTTAGATGGATGATTGCTACTGTCCGTTCACACCAAAGATAATCAGTAGAGTTCAGAATTCTGCAACTTAAAAGCATGCATGCCCTGACAGGTGACAGTTGAAAAAACTGGGGAAAGCAGAGAAAGCAAGCGCTTCAGGGCTCTGCAGAGATATTCTTCGTGCTTACAAGTAGCAGCATGGTACAAACTAAGCACACTTAATAGATATGTTACTTACAGGTTATTATATTTTGAGGGTATTTTTGTTTGGTTGACCTTGTCTCAGAATTTTAATGACAGAGCTTCTGATTGCACTCCCTCACTAAAATCTGCTAAAAACCTGAGCTAAGACCACCTCCAGTGAATTTGAAATACTTATGATGATGCTGAGGTGTCATTTGACTTGACTATTCACAAATTCCTCCTTGTTAGGGATGCACCTACGACCCCAGTCCTAGCTGAAATCAAGGATCCTACTTGTAGGAGTGGAAATAATTTGTCATGAGGGAATCAGAGCCTGCATATGAGTTTCATGTCAACTGGAGTCTAGCTGCAAAATATGCCTTCTTGGGTTTTGCGTCTGTGCTCAGAAGCACAGTAAAACACATTAAGATACAGTGGTGCCTCGTATAACGAGTGCACAGTAAAACACATTAAAATACTTCAAAGCACTTTTTAAATAACGTGGCCAGCCTGATCTGCAGTCGTTTCTGCATCATTAGTGTTTGTAGTGCTTTGTGCCATCCAAGGTTAGGAGAGGACCATGAGTCCTCCAGATGGTTTGGTCGACAGCTGCCATCAGCCTCTCATGACATGGCCAAGGGCAAGAGATTACAGGAAATACAGTCCAAAACCTCTGGAAGGCCAAAGGCCCCTCACCTGCGTTCTAAGCAGACCTTGATTAGGAAAGCTGCATGCAGAGACAGAGTCCATGAAACATTCCTACCAAAGATTCTCATTCAAAGGACTTCCACTAGAAGCCTGATGAAAAACAACAGCTCATCAATTTGGCTGCACTTTCGTACTGTGTTCTCTATTGAAAACTGTTTGGCAGATGATCTGAAGCTCATCTGGGCCTGTGTGTTGTGGCTGCTGTCATTAGGTGGGATCCTCCTCTTCTTCATCATCACTTCCTAGTACTTACAAAGACTGCTCTAAGCAGCAATTCCTCTTGTATTGCCACTGGACATCCTGCCAACCTGCCGCTCATTTAAGTTAATCTTAAAATCAGGGGGCCTAGAGTGGTCCTCACACGACCAGATAGGAGGGATATAAATAAAATAAATAAAATAAATAATAAAATAAAAAAAAGGAGCAAACAATTTGAATTCTCTAAATCGTTTGACAGTACAAATTCACATTCAGGTGTTCTCAGCCGTCTCAAATATCTGAAGGAATCTTCGCTTACCGGTGAGTTTTCCCCCAATAGGAACGCATTAAACGGAGTTTAATGCGTTCCTATGGGTTTTCCCCTCCCGCATAGCGAAGAATCCGGATAGCGACGTTAATCCTGGAATGGACAGTTAAAAAAAGGAGCAAACAATTTGAATTCTCTAAATCGTTTGACAGTACAAATTCACATTCAGGTGTTCTCAGCCGTCTCAAATATCTGAAGGCTCTCATATGTAGAACCTGCTTACTTCCTTAAGGACACCCAAGTGTTTGGATCTAGCATTGAAGATTTCTTGAAACTCGTCAGACTCCAAGTAAGCAAGTTGTTGGCGCCGTTTCTTTTCGGCAGGTTCTACAGCATTAGCAGAGTCTGCAGGGTCAAAGAGAAAGGGAAACATACAAGGCTTAACCAGTAACACCTAAGGAGATTCTGCTTTAGCAGAGGCTAAGAAAATACATCCTGCAGATTATAGCTGCTTTGCGATTTTCAGTGAATTATGCTTGAAGTCTTCCACCTTCTTACTCATGTGGCTTTGATCTACATGATTTGCATTTGCTCAAATTACTCAAGACAAGACAGAAAGGCATGCTTTTCTCTGCAAGTTTCTCCAGTTTCTGCAATTTCACTGGCCACTTCCAAAGACAAGTTCAGTTTACTGCCAGTTCAATATTCAATATTTCAACTTTTCTTTGGAACCAAATGGAAAGTTCAATTGAAATAAAAGGGGAGGGGGAGCAATGTGGCCAATTACAAAATAAAAATGCAAGAATCAATGCACAATGAGGTCACTGTGCAACCTGGCAACCCCTTACTCCATTTGATAGGCCACCCCCAAAGATCAGATTCATTCTCAGCGATTCATTCTTTTCCTCCTACTCAACTTCACAGCAACTCTCAGGAGAAGACTGGTGATGCTGGCTAGTTATTGGTCCTCTGACTGATAATAGAGGAAAGGGGAGTGAGTCCCAACTTAGTTAGCTGGGGAAGGGTTTAAAACAATCATGGAAAAGCAAGGAACAGTCAGAGATGCCTATACCCCTATTCATTCAGTGGCACCAGCATCCAATCCATGAAGAGAATGTATTCAAGTGTTCCAGCTTGAATAGGGTTGACTTTGCTTAAAAGGCAGCAAAAGAAGGAAAGATAAAAAGGCAGCACAACTATTTCAATGCAGGGAACCAAAATCCCCACATGCAGCCAGATGCCTATCTGGGACAAGATGGGCCTCTGATGCCGGTTCAGTCTGCAGTATTTTGAGCATTGTTGTCTCTCTTAGGCAGAAACCTTAACACTTAGCTGTCCTGTTTGACAGCAATTCTAGCTTTAGATCTTAATGGCAGATTGCTGTGCCCCAAAGAACCAGAAACACTCCAAGCAGTATTTGTAATGTTTATATTATGGTGCCTTTAAGTAATTTATATCTTGCACAGCAAAGGAATCTGCTAGATTGGCCAAAATGTTAGAGAGAAGTCTGGGATAGTTAAAAAAAAAATCAGGCTGCTTGTTTCAGATCTCATATAGACGCCTATTATTTATTGTTATTTATTTTATGCATTTATATGTTGTCTTTCTTCCCATACAGGACCCAAGGCAGCTCACAACAGTTAAAATCATACAATAATAACAAGTTAAAAATGCCATACAAAACTATATATACAAAAAATAATTAAAACATTGGTCAGGATTAAAAACTATTTTGAAAACTTTTTAAAAATTACATTTGTCCACATTGGAGAGAAGATTTCTTAATAAACTAATACAGTGGTGCCTCGCTTAACGAGCGCACCGTTTTTCTGAAACGTGGGTGTTTTTCTCAACTCTCTCAGAAATTTCTAGAGTATCCAGATCAGATCGTTTTCGCTTGATGCTGTTTGGGTCCACTTTAGAGAGGATTCTGCCTTTTGCACGCAGTTTGTTTATTGCTGCTATCTAAAAACAACAAGAGCAGCACATTAGATATGTAAAACTCAGGACATTAATTAAAACTGGCATGAGCCAGCAAAGGTTCATGGGATCTGAAGACCAAACAACCCTTTTCTGCAAAATCAAGTCTGCCATTGGTCAAATAAAAATTATAGTGGTGAACACAGGACTTTTGAAAAGTGCAAAAGATAATCACGCACTTAAAGAGACACATGGATTCCAAAGACAACCTTATGTAGGTCACAAACTGCATGCTTTCAAGAGCCAAGATGACATCATGTGTCTTCTCACCTAACACAATCTTTTTCTTCTAACACTTGAGGGACAGAGAGAAATATTCTCTTCAGGGCTGCAGCAGCTGCTCCTAAGAATTTTATCAGTCTCATTTCTCAGATTGATAAATTCAGGTTTATTTGCTTGGGATTTTTAGTTTATCTGTCTGAGAACTGAGATTGCCACCACAAATTCTTCTTCTTCTTTCAAATGCCAGAAGAAACAATTCTGGGGTTTTGTTTAGGACTCTGCCAAATCAAAGAAATGTTGTTTAAATTCATACTACAAACCAAGATGCTAAGCCACAATCTGATTCTCTTTCCATATCCTGGTGTCTAGACAAACTGAAACATGATTTTCTGGGGTGAACATACAGTATCAGGAAATTGTGATTTAGAGGGCATGTGAAGGAAGTGGACAGCACACATGAACACACTGCTGATTCTTAATCTACTGTGTCATGGGTTATTATGCTGAAATCATTATGTCTGACTGGCCCTAAGAATACCAAATCAAACAACCAGGGGGAAGAAGTACAAAAATGAAATAATGGGTTAAAATCATATGAAGTAGGACAGATCATGCTAACTGAAACTGGCATAATTCAAAAAATTGCAGAATTCAGAAAGCGAAGTATTATTGCTATTATTTATACTGTCATAACAAAAGATCCTAATCCATGATTATTAAACAAAAATACTTCCTAGTTTACAATCTATAATGAGAGGCCAGGAGAAAAGGGACCTGCTTCAATCAGCACTTCTTCAATAATAGTCGCTCTAAGTGGCACAGTCTCTGCTCTACTTCATGCAGACTCTGAGACAGCAGGACAATATCTGCTGAGGTAGGAGTCCCTGCATTATTTGAATGCTTTTTCTGCCCCCCC